AGTTCAAGCTTAAATACGAAGAGCAAACTGATTGCTGGAGGGGGGTGGGCTAAATGGACGATGGGCATTGAGGGGGGCACCTGTTGGGATGAGCCCTGGGTGTCATATGTAAGAGATGAATCACTGGGTTCTACTCCTAAAGCCAAGACTACATAGTATGTTAACCAACTGGTATTTAAATTAAAATAATAATAATAATAACAACAACATATCTTGGCTATATTTAGAAAAAAAAGGAGGATAAGAGGAGATAACGGATGTAATGTGACTGACATGATGCCAGGTGTGTGGCTGATGTCCTCCGTGTCCCCAAGGACCAGAACACAGTGTGAGCTCCCACAGACCCTCTTGCATGTGAGGCTGCCTTCTGGGCCAGGAGTTAAACTTGGCGCCCAGCCACACACACCTGACGAGGCCACACCCGGGAAACCGTCTTGCCCACACATAAGTGCATCCACTAAGGCAGCCCCATTATCACAGATCTGATCTAGACAATTACGCCATTTTATGAAAAATACAGAAGCAACCACCACGTACATTCTGAGAAGCTAGTACATCTCCCGCCAAAAACTTCCCTCTACAGGATTCACTCCAGATTTCCTTTAAATGGTAAGCTCATGTACTTAATTTAAAATTTGCTTCGCTTTGCCAAAATCTCACTTTTTAAACAACTTTTCAGTGACACCCATTACCGAGAACATCACACTCCCGGAGGAGAACAACCTCTACTTTTTTTTCCCCCCACATGCACAGACAAGTCACACCCACACACATACACACCACAAAATGTTTTATAGTAGAGCCTTGTCAAAAAGTTATTATAAAACATTTTATTTTATCTGGCAGCCAGAAATGATGTTCAGCTGTCTGGAACACAGGCTGCTAGAGGCTGCTTGTCACAGACGACTGGAAGGGCAGGGAGGGACGGAGAAGACAGGACAGATTCTCCAAAGAGAAAGCAAGTGGCCAAATGCCATTGTTCACACTGTCAGAGTCTCAGGCCTCCTCAAGAGAGCACCGTGTGTCTCACGCGGCCTGTAATTAAATCAGAATTACATTCTTCCTGCAATTTGCAAGTTTCCTTCTTTTTTTGCTATTGCTAACTGTTTTCCCTTTTTAGGCAGTTACTGGTACATCAGAACTCCAAGTAACTATTCTTTAATACAGTTAAAACTGGAGTATCTTCAAGAAGTCTGTATTGTCAGCATCAGAATCATGAAAAAAAAAAAAAAGTCATGGGAAATAAAAACAGAATCCTGGCTTAGCTATCCAACTTTGTTCTGGCTTCCCCTCCCAGTCTGCTCTCTCCACTGGATGATCTGGTGTGAGATCCCTGTGGGAGCCTGACTGGGCAGCAGGAAAATCCACCCCCGGGGACCCAGGGGCAAGTCTCATTTACCTGGACACACATCTTGGGTGCTGGTCAGAAGAGGTGAGGAAACCACACTGGGTTTAGGGCCACCAGTCCCTGCTTTTGTTTCCTCCCGAGTCATCGTGTCCCCAAATCTAGCAATTATTTGGTCTCTACTGCCAACAGGGCATTTTGTGGAAGAACACTGATTTTTTTTTTTTTTTTTTTTTTTTACAACACAAGTGTCCCAAAGGAAAGTAAATTTTTAATCACATGATGCCCATTTTCTACCATAACTAAAAGCCGCATGCCAACAGAACTTCCACCCTGATGCTGCTGTCCCACAGCCCAGGGGATCACACCGGCGGTCCGCCAGGGACAGTACCTTGGCGACAATCACATGGGGAGACATGCCTGCTCAAGGTCACCCAGTACATATGCATTTTGAGCCAGGCCTCAAGTTCAGGGCTGCCTGACCCCAGGCTCTGCACTTACTCTCCTGGCTGCCATGAGCCCCTCTCCATATTCCCAGACCAATTCCTGCCGGCCGAATGAGATTTCCAGGCCCTACGGGCACCTGGGCACGCTGGCAGTGTACAAAGAGACATGTGATGGGAATGGTTCCCCTTGTCTGGAATCATCTCTTCAGCACACCCACTCAAGTCCTGTCATGTTCAAGGCCCAGCTCAAGCCTCACATCCCCCCACCCCACGCTCCTGTGAGCATTACCAAATCCCCCTTCCCATCCCATCAGTGCCCACCTTGGGTCGGGTAACCGGATTTTGTGCAGCTTAGCCCGCTTCTTTAAGCTCTTTCTCCATGTTCCCCGCCATCCACCACGCCATCCTGCGAGGGCCTGGTACTCATGGGATGACGTGAACACAGAGGAAGAGGAAATGTGTTCGGGGCGTCCCCAGAGGGGCTCTCAAATGGAATTCCTAAACACTTCACGAGGTATGGGTCATATGACACTGGAGAAAAGAGTAACTGTACTATTCCTCAGCCTTGAGACAATCAAGTGAAATATCTCCGCCTTCGGAGATCCCATCCATGGGATGGACAGAGACCCAAAAACCCTACCAGAGCCAGATCTGAAAGGTGACAGGGTGGGGAAACAGTGGCATCTGGGATAGACAACCTGCTGGCAAGGGACACCACTTCCCCTAAAGGCTTGAAACGCAGATGCTCACATCCCTAGAACAGCCAAGATATCACTCGTCGCTGGAAAATGCGTATTTATACCGAAAGAGACAGTTTTTCAAACTCAGAGACAAGCCAACAAGGCCCCTGACAGAAATTAATTGAGGGCCTCAGCCTCAATGCTGCTCTGAACACTCCACACCAACAAAATGATTAACTGCTTCACAGAAAGGGGACCATCAGTCCAAATATGACTCAGACAAGACCCTCTGGGACAGAGAAGGCATGAAACACAAATGCTCAGCTATCCCCGCTGTCGACTGTCAGCTCCACACAAGGAAAAGGCACTGTGTCAAGGTCAGGAGGTTGGAGACAGTCGAGGGAAATCAAAACTCACCCAAAAGCAGAATCAGAAAAGTAGCAGCCGGCCTTGGCAGTGATGGGTAACGGTTTATTTTCTGGGAGAAAATTGTAGTTCATTAAATGCTGACATAAAGAAGGCTCATTCCCTTTGTGAGAGCCCAGAAGGCCAAGTATGGACTCCCTAAGGGGTCCGTGGGGACATGGCCTAGAAGCTCCATCTCTACATAATGGCTGTCTCCTTGCAGAGAAGAAAAGCCCCTTTCCCCCTGACCCAGGCCCTGAGCATCCCTGGGCCTGGGGAAATGGCATCAACACCCAGCAGACATGAGCGAGGTCTCTCTGTGTCCCCTGCTGGGGGCTCTGGCCCTTCAGAGCTGGTCCCAGGTCCCATCCACACCACCATCACAGCTGCCCACCAGTGATGCCCGGTATTTTCTGCTCAACTGGGTAGGAACACTATCAGCTTTATTGGGCTTTTCCCCTATGGCCCACTGTCCAGCTCTGTCCAAACACAGTGACAGGGAATTTGATCTACGACTTGCTAATGGATTGAGAAAGGTACGAGAGCTCCTTCGGCCTGAAGGCATTTTGTGCAACCCCATACCCGTTCCAGCAAGCAAATTCCCTGTCTGTTTGTGCACAAGAAATTGCCCGTTGCTTTGAAAGAAGGCTGTGCGAAATGAACCCACTGCATTCGTGGCTGGAAAGCACCCAAGAAAACTGGGCAGCAGATGTCCTGATGAGACACTTTTTTTTTTTCTTTCTTTCTTTTTTTTTTTTTTGCTGGGCTTTTCCGTGAGAAATTAGTGTACTGAAAAGGCTAGACCTTTCTGCAGGGTGGGGAATGCAACCCTAAAGTCATTTCTGAAAAAGACCACAAACAGTTGCTCCAAACACATCGTCTGTTCCCCCTTCCCTTTCCCTGTGTCGGACTTCCTGGCCTGAGAGTCTGCCTGCTGGGAGGGAAGCCCGGGCGTGCTCCTTCACTCAGTCACACATTCTCTCCCACTCTCTCCCTTGGAGGGAACATGAACCATGAACACTGCTGATTCAAAAATCAGACACTTCTGCGGGAGTTGGCAGGACCTGGATCTCCACCCCCACCGCCCCTGGAACATCAAGTCAGCGCCTCCTCGGGGCCATGCGCTCACTCTGCCGCCTGGGCCACGCCTTCTGGGGGCCACGGTCCCTCCTCCAGCCTCAGGGCTGGACCGGCTGCCAGGAGCTTCCTTGAGCCACCTGGACAGCCCCAGCCAGCGTGCACTTTAAATAATAAACTATGCATTCTTGATCCGTCTGCAGCTCGAAGCAGATTTTCCTATTTAAGCTGGAGGCCTTCTCTGCTTTGAGTTACCCAGGAGGGGCGGGTGTGTGTTGCATAAGAGCCCAGGAGACAACTGGGGAAAGACAACACTTCTCTTCTGATCCCTCTGCTTGGTGGAGCTGCATGTGGGAAAAAGGATTCAGACACACATGCACAAAAAAATACCCTGGTATCCTTTTTTTTTTTTTTTCTTGGCGCTGGAATTTCAGATTTTCTTTCTCAGTCAAGTACTGGGAATATTCAAGAAGAGGACTGATGTGCGTGTCCCATACTAGTTTCCCTGTGTTCTCTCAGAGAATATGTTCAAAAGACAACTGACAGAGGAAAACAAAGAATTACTAAATAGAGGCTGCAATGCTCAGCCTTACGGGAGAAACACATTTGTGAAATGTTTCATAGAGACACTGGAAATATATTTATGATTGTGGTAGGGTGGAGAATGCACCCCCCCCAAAGATGTCCACAGCCTGATCCCTGGAACATGTGAATGTTAACTTACATGGTAAAAGGGGCTTTGCAGATGGGATTAAGTTAAGGACCTTGAGACGGGGAGATTATCTGGCATTACCCATGTGGGCCTGATGTAATGACACATGTTATTATATAAGGGAAGTAGACAGAGGTTTGACAAAGAAGAGAACCATCAGAGGGATGCTGCATGAGAAAAACTCCACTGCCCATTGCTGGCTTTGAAGATGAAGGAAGGGGCTGGGAGCCAAGGAATACAGGCGGCCTCTAGAAGCTGGAAGAGGCGAGGAAATGGATTCTCCCCTAGAGCCTCCAGAAAGAATGAAGGTCTGCTAACATCTTGACATTAGCCCAGTGAAACAGATTTTAGGCTTCTGACTTCCATAACTGTAAGAGAATATATTTGTGTTGTTTTAAGCCACTAAGTTTGTGGTAATTTGTTACAGCGGCAATGGGAAAGTAATACATGAGTCTTCTAGCCAGAGGGCCTTGGACGCAACTAAGACAAACAGTGGACAGAGATGAGGGTGATATTCAGAACACAGACAAAGCACCTCAGGATTCCAGAAAACTAAGTGAGGCAATTAGGATGGATTTCCCGGAATAGGTACCCGCTAAGCTGGGCCTTCAAAAATATGATGGGTGTTCAAGAGCAGTACAAAGACGGACACAAAGGGGTCATTCCATACAGTTCCATAAGCCAAAGTAGACCTTTTGGTCACAGTAAGCCCTGTGACCAGACAATTCATAATCTAGCTTGAACCACAAGAAATAATAACTATTTTATACATTAAGTAAGGGGGGAAACTTGATGCACTGAAATTTGGAAACCGAGACGAAATTTGCTAGGAAAACAAAATTCACCAACATTGGTCCCATTAGCAATACAAAATGTACATCAACTTTTTTATAGAAGAAACAGGGAAAGTTATAAAGGAACTACAGTCCCAAGAAAGCACCGGGCTGAGATGGTTCCAAACATGATTCTACCAAGCCTTCCCAGACCAGATGGCCTCAACGATGCATAAATCATTCCAGAGTACTGAAAACAAAGGAAAGCTTCTACACTAGCACCCATACACAAGCGCACGCACATGCATGCACACACACACACACGAATGACAGAGCAACATCACATACAAATATGGATGCAAAAAGCCTAAACAAAGCATTAGCAAATAACAATAACACTTTAAGGAAATAATACACTACAACCAAGTGAGACTTATACCAGGAATTCAAGGTTGGTATAATTTACATAATACACCATATTAGTACATCTAAGAATAGTCCCATGTATCCCTGTCTCCCCAGTGCTGTAAAAGCCTTTAGAAAATCAAACATCCATGTCTGATTTTAAAAACCACACTCACAGGGGCACCTGGGTGGCTCAGTCAGTTAAGCATCCAACTTTGGCTCAGGTCATGATCTCATGGTTCGTGAGTTCGTGCCCCGCGTCAGGCTCTGTGCTGACAGCTCAGAGCCTGGAGTCTGCTTCAGACTCTGTGTCTTCCTCTCCCTCTGTCCCTCCCCTGCTTGCACTCTGTCTCTGTCTCTGTCTCTCTCTCAAGAATAAACATTAAAAAAAAATTTAAAAAGTATACTCACAGGACAAATCTGAGACCATCTGTGCATTAAAAAAAATATAATAAATGAGTATCCATAGACTAAAATAAGAATTTACAAGCCCACATCAATATAAATAAATGGGGAAGAAGAGGATTAAAAATGTGGAGGAAATAATGGACTCAGAAAAGCACCATTTTGAAGCCCCCACAATAATAATTGAGTCTGTGGAGAATCAAGAGATGCTAAAACTAGTGAGCGAAAGTCTGATGAAGGACAGGATATTCACAGGGCACCTGGGTGGCTCAGTCGGTTAAGCATCTGACTTCGGCTCAGGTCATGATCTTGTGGTTTGTAGGTTCAAGCCCCGCAGCAGGCTCTGTGCTGACAGCTCAGAGCCTGGAGCCTGCTTCGGATTTTGTGTCTCCCTCTCTCTGTGCCCCTCCCCTACTCATTCTCAGTCTCTCTCTCTCTCTCAAAAATAAACATTAAAAAAATTTTTTTTTTAAAGAACAGAATATTCACATAGTCTCATAAATATCCCACAAAATTTTGCTAATTGTATATGTAAAGATCAAAACCTTACATCAGATTCACCTAGAAACACAACCTGAACCAAATAGTAAAAGCTGACATCCCAATAACGGGATAAACTGCCAGCACAGGCCTCCTGATAGATGCGCTGAGAAGAACACAATATCACGTTGGTGGTATTCCTGCCAAAAATGCATAACCTGTGCCCAATCATGAAGAAACAACAGACAAAACCAAATTTAGAGACCTCTGACCAAAAAAAACAAAAAACCAAAAACAAAAAAACCTAGGTAATACTTGTGTTTTTTAAAGAAGCATGAAGATTAGGAGAGACAAATACTAAGTAACTGACCCTGACTGGAGGAGACTAAGACACAACAACTAAACACAACACGTGTGACTCTGGATTGGATACTGGAGCAAGAAAAGAACACCAAACACCATGGCTTAAAGACCTCATTGGGACTACCAACAAAAGTCAAATATAAATTGTACTTTAGATAATGGCATTGTGTCAATGGTTCATATCCCAAGTCTGCTAGCTATATGATGGTAAGAGTTGTTTGAAGATACAAATGGAAGTATTTATAGGTAAAAGGATACGATGTCTGCAAATTACCCTCAGGTGGTTCAGGGGGGAAAAGTGTGTGTAGGGGAGAGCGCGCTGAGGAGGGTGGCAGGAAGGAAGAGGGGGAGGGATCAAGGGAGGACAAGAGGAAGGGGGGTGAGAGAGAGAAAGAGAGAAAGCAAGCTACAGAGCGAGTAGACAAAGTGTTAATGATCAGTGACTGTGAGTAATGGGTACACCAACGCTCTTTGCAACTATATCAAAAGAAGCAGCTAACAAAAATATGGAGGAATACAAGAGGGCAGGGATAGCAGAGCAAACAATTTTGAGTCTGGATGGCTGGAGACAGGGAGTCAGAACACTGGGAATTAGGCCGGTGCAAGTGGGCATTGTCAGACAGGGACTTGGCTGGGAAACACCAACTTCCAGAGAGCAGGTGGTGACAGCAGCCGGCCAGCAGAGACGTGTAGATGGATCAAAGGAAAGACGAAGGGCTCAAGACACAGTCTGGGAAGAGAGTAGTGGAGCAGGGTGGAGCAGATAAGGACCCCAAGGCAGTGAGAAAAAGGAAGGGTGGCAGTGAGCACAGGTGCACCCTGGCAAGTGCTGGCATGTGGAGGCCAGGAGAGGGGACGAGGGGCGAGCATTCCTTGCCAGCAATGTGTTCATGATGCTGGGAAAATACAACTGAGAAAATGAACTAGGCTTGGGTTCTGAGGGGGACACTTTAGTTCCACTGACCGCATCTGATCCCAGAGGTAAAAGGAAACCGGAGAACAGTAAAAGAAGGCTGGGAAGGCCATACCAGAGGTCAGCAGGTGGGCAGGTAGTGCGGGAGGCATGACTCCCCCCACTCCCCCTATGTATCAGATTCCAATCTCAGGAGCAATGTGCCACTCAACGAACCCCCAGCCCTGGTTTGGACACCCCTCACTTGATGTTGGTGAAGTCACAACATCAGTCTGGTGGCTTGGTTCTCACTCCCTTCTTTTCTCCCTCTACCCCTCCCAGCAAGCACCACTGGGAATGAGAACATCCTTCCAGTCTGAAGCCCTTAGGTTAGCACAGGAGGAAGGGGTGAAGTGAGGACGGAGGGCCCACTTCCCTAGAGCACATCCAGAATGAGACCGGTCATCAGTCTGCCATTCGAGTGTCCGCAATCATCTCCTGGAATGTTGGCTCCATGAGGGCAGGGACCAGATAAGGTCTCTTGTTTACTACAGGATGCCCAGCACCCACAACTAGGCCAGACACACAGTCTCAAATAAACATCGGTCAAGCGATTAAATTCCCGCCTTGGATAACAGGGCCTGTTACAAGTTTTAAGGCAGAGACCCAAGAATAAAATATGTTCAAGCCAATTTGTAGGAAATATCCACACAGTCACTGAAAGCTTAAAAGCAAAAGAATATTTACACGGAAACTCATTCAGACACTGCCTCCACGCCTGGCTTGCCCATTTTCCCTGAGTCTCCATTGGTCAGCCCAGAATCAGAGCCTCCAGAGGGGACCGCAAGAGCACGGGTGAGTCCCCCAGGCAAGACGGCCTTCCCTCCCAGTTGGCCTTCACCAAGTCTCCAGGAGGCCCTTGTGTGCAATGATCTGTCCACTCCCTTGGAGATCTCGGGGCTTCTTTTGCTGAATGACCAGAATTTTTTAAAGAAGGAAGGATGGAGGAGGGAAGGGAAGAATATAACACAGGTCAGCTGATTATTCCGGTGGGAGGAATTTTTTTAACTGAATATATAGGAATTTTTAGAAGGTAACAAGCTTTCTTTAACTGTTAACATTTTTAAATGCTTAGGGGTCCCTCCCACTACATGCTGCCTCCCAGCCAGGACACCTGCAGGGTCTCTTCTGGTATCGTCCCTGCAGCACCCCATGTCACCCCAATTTCTGCTACCACTGTGATGGTCAGCTTGTGCCAACAGCACCCCTCCTCAAGCATATGGCTCTGGCGTCTCCTTTTTTGCAGGCTCTTATACCTAAGAAGCCTGCCTGGCCTACACAAGAGCAGTTGGAAATCTGGGAGACAAGAAGTGCTGGGTAACATCCAAGCTCTGCCCCATCTGCATCCTTGAGATCACTCTGGATGCTTCCATGCACTTTTCAGAGTTGCTGCTGTAGGAACCACGCCCCCCGCTGCCTGCAGCAGTCCCCTTGGCACACTCACCTTCCACTGGATTTTCCATTGGATTCCAATGGAAGTTTTGCTCCTCCCGGTCTCTCTCTCCTGCTTCCTGGGACTCCTCCCTCTCTCAATCTAACCACCTGTACTCAAGCCCTCATCTGAGGCCTGGATTTTAGAGAACCCCACTCTATGGACCTTTTCCATAAAGAGAAGACACCTTATGTTTTAAGAATACTGTCTACTCGATGAAAGTCCATCAGCATTAGTTCATTTAACTCCTAGCACCCGGGTGAAATGAAGATACTGAGAAAAATATTACCTCTATTTTACAGATGAGGAAGCATAGGAGTAAGAGCAATTAACAGGGAAGCAGTATCAGATGCTGCCCAAAGCTGCCGGGCCCCATCCCCCTGGCTGCGTTCACTCCCAGGCCACATGGACGGGCAGTGTCCATTTTACAGCATCTTACAGGCTCCAAATCCACAGAGTTATACAGCCTCAGGGAATAATAATGGCAATAATTATAATAATAGTATAATGATGATGATGATTTTATAGAGCAATATTACTGGGTTTTAATTTTATTATTTCCAAAGTGATTACCAAGCATCCTCCTGCTACCCAAACAGCCCCAACAAAAACCCAAAAGACTTCTTCAGTCATTTGTCTTAAAAAGAAATAACAATGAGATCAAAGGCATTTGGATGAACACATGGTTCACATAAAGCAAATGGCAGGATTGGAGATTGCCCCTCGAGCTTGTGAGAACTCAGTCAGAACACAAGAGTAAATGCAAAACCAATTATTACTAAACACTCAAGATGACAAAGGGCCCCATGGGCTTTTCTAAGAAGGCTCTGAAGTACAAGAAACACTTATCTGGTGATCTCCAAAGTGCCCCCTAGGAGCTTCAGGCAGCCAGGAGATGTGGATGTGGGTCCCCAGCCTCAACAGAGGCAGAGGGTCTGTCTGACCCCCTGGCCTTCCAGGGCGGATCCTTGCCCAGCCTAACATGGGTGCCAGATCCCTCCAGAGCAGGTGGTGGGCACACATCAGAAATGCCACAGGTGGCCCAGGAAACACTCTGCCAAATCGTTACAGGAGCTCCTTTTGGCCCAAGGGAATAAACTCAAGTTCCACAGAATATGAAAATCATAGAGGATCTTCTTCAAACAACACTGACCAAGGAGATAGCGCTTCTATTCGGTCCATGAAAAGCAGTGAGTGACTCCGGTGTGCTGATTTACTAGGTATTAATGCAGTTTTTTTCTAAAGCTACTGTCATAAGGCAGCCTTTGTGTTCCTTTGCCACGGGCATTCTGTTGGGCCCAAAGCAGAAGCCGCCTGGGCATAGCTGCCATTCCAGGCTGTAGTTTCAGAAAACTAAGCTCCCTAAATGAATAACAGTAGGGGAAGGAGTGCCCTGGAGACCAGGGGCAGGGGCCGAAGCAGCAAGAGCAAAAGGGGAGGCTTCTCTGAGCAGCAGGGAGGCACCTCACACTTGTGGCCCCCAGGGGGTGGGTCCCAGCCACCCCACGGCCCCTCTGAAGGGTCCCTGTCATCAAGGATGGCACAGAGATGCTGGGAAATTTCATACCTGGGACGGTTAACGAGAACCTAGCAGACATCAGGCCCAAATATTGGCCTAAGGGTGAGGGGCCAGTGTTACACTTGCTACCGTGAGATAAGAGATGTGGCTGGGGCCCCGGAGTGGCAGGACACCTGCTCCCACAGGCACAGGGAATTTGGGAGAAATTTGTCTCCGTACATAGCCCTGAATTCCAGTGGAATGTCGGCCAGAGTCTCGGATACAAACTGCCCCCGCCTGTGCTACACACAAATACACGTCACTCTCAAGGTTTTCCTAAGGAAAAACGTGAAAGTAGAAATCACATTGGGACTGGTGAAAATGTCCTGGGGCATCTGACAGAAGCGCATGTGAAATCACTCAGTAGAGATTTTTCCGTAACCCAACATATAGAGCACCCCTGCAGAGGATGGGGCAGTGGGGTACATAGATGTCTACACTGAGCACAGTATAAAATTATAATCCACATAGAAAATGGTCCAGCGTAAGTGTGAGTGGGCCAATATGACAAACAGCAAGATCAACATCCCAAGAAATTCAGAAGGTGGAATAATTCAAAAGAGACTTCAAATACTTATGGTAAGGGATGCCTGGGTGGCTTAGTCAGTTAAGCGTCTGACTTCGGTTCAGGTCATGACCTTACAGTTCGTGGGTTCCAGCTCCACATCAGGCTCTGTGCTGACAGCTCAGAGCCTGGAGCCTGCTTTGGATTCTGTGTCTCCCTCTCTCTCTGCCCCTCCCCTGCTCACACTTTCTCTCTCTCTCTCAAAAATAAACATTAAAAAATAATAGTAATTAGGACAAAATTACCAATCTGATAAAGGGAAGGGTAAAATCATAATGAAAGAACAGGGCACTATGAAAAATACAAGGCAGAACTGGAAAAGAGTCAAAATGTAACTTCCAGAAGTCTAGATTCTAAACACTAAAACTGAAAACTCAGTGGTTCGATTAAACGGAGATTAGACCCTATTTAACAGAAATCTGGTGAACTGGAAGACCAATGAGAAGAAATAATCCAGAATACAGAAGAGACCTAATAGGTTAAAAAAAAAAAAGGGGGCTCCTGGGTGGCTCAGTTAGTTAGGCGTCCAACTTCAGCTCAGGTCATGATCTCACAGCTCATGAGTTTAAGCCCCATGTTGGTCTCTGTGCTGACAGCTCAGAGCCTGGACCCTGCTTCAGATTCTGTGTCTCCCTCTGTCTCTGCCCCTCCCCTGCTCGTGCTCTCTCTCAAAAATAAATCAACATTTTTTAAAAATTAAAAAAACAAAACCAGAGGAAAGAACAGGAAGGTGCACATCTACTGAGTAGGAGTTCCAAGAGGGGAATGAGCTGATCACAGAGAAGAGGCCCCTAAGACGGAGGCTGGGCCTCTCTCAGAACTGACAGAAGCTATGATTTCTCACATCCAACAATCACAGTGGGTCCCAAATGGGATAAATATGGAAAAAATCTGCCATAGATATACTATAAACACAAAGATAACATGATTTAACCTGCAGAGAGAAAAGACAGGTTACTTGCACAGAATCTAAATTTGAATGGACAGAAGACCTTCTGTAGCAAAAACAGAAGTCAGAAGACAGTGGAATAATATCTTCAACGTGTTGATGAGAGTTAAGGCTAAACCTAGAGTTCTATATTCAGCTAAATCATCACCAAGAGTGTAGGTGAAATCAGGGCAGTTTGGGAAAAACAAAGATAATAATTTAACCCTCGCCAAGATTAAAAAACAATAAACAAACAAAAAAGCAGAAACAGACCCATAAATACAGAGAACAAACTGATGGTTGCCAGAGGGGAGGGAGTGGAAAGTGAGGCAAAGTGGGCAAAGGGGAGAGGGAGATACAGGCCTCCAGTTCTGGAACGAGTAAGTCACAGGAATCAAGGGCACAGCATAAGGAATGTGGTCAATGATGCTGTAATAGCGACATTAACAGAACATGGCATAACATATTAACTTGTCAAATCACT